GCAACTCTCTTTTTCTTTGATTTTACAGAAAAACAGGTAATCACAGTAAAAATGCCAGGGCTCCTTCTACAGGACCAGGGCATTGCAGGAGAATGTATGAAGAAGAAATTTATTATTTCTATACATGTTTTGGCTGTCAAACTTCCATAATGCCCCTTTAAGATATGTTTCTACATATTCTCCACACTCTACCATGCAAATAAAGCTGACTGTTTGGCTCATTACATCATCTGTATTGATGTCTAACCACATACCTAAATATAAATAGGTGGATTTCTTCTTTCCCCAACAAAAACAAGCGCTGAATACAAACAACAGCGACGTTTAGAGCTTCTGACCCCGAGCAGCTGAAGCAGATGACCAGTGAGGATCAGTGGAAGAGACTCAGGGAAAAACCGTAACCTCCTGTAGAGTGCAAGCAGCTTAAAGGTGGCCTAATAATGGAGTAGCACAGGTAGCAAACACATTACCCTCCATGTTTTCCTTCCACATATAGAAACGGCGTGTTTCGCTGTAAAGTATAAATAACGCTGTTTACATCTGAAAATGTTCCCCCTACTGAAATAACCGTGTTCAGGGCCTGTATAATCACAGCAGCCTATACTTCAGCTCAAACCTATAATTCAGATCAAGCCTACACGCAACGCCTTCACCTATGAGCCGCTGCGTTGTGTGCTGATGGGGAAAGCTTTAGGACTCACAGCCGCAGCAGCTGCAGGCGGATTTCGGACGTTTTCCTGAGTGAGGTCGGGTTTTCATCGGGTTCAAAACACAAAGTTTCTCGTAATTTGAAATTAAAATGCATTCATATGATACCCGGTTAAATGCATTAAATCCAGACGTTTCCTGTAACATGGTGTTGTGGTCGGACTTGAAGCCTACACCCAGTCAGCGTAGTCTGATGTGTAAACTGGGTGGGTTCAGGTGTCTAACCCTAATAACTACAGAGCTACACACAACCTTTGGTGCATATTTGTGCCAAAACATCACCGTCCCAACAAACGCGGACCACTTCATCGTGTCTCACTGGTGACGAAGCTGTTCTCGCTTTGGGATTTCCTGCAGAAACAGAAGCAAGGAGGCTAATCTGTGGACAGGCTGAGCAGAGAGCTCCCACAGCTTAGGGTAAGCACAGTTGGTGTTGGTTCCTTCGTTATCATCCGCTTATCTGGGTGAAGGGGGCCAGCATGGAGGCCCAAAGCACCCTCTCCCCAACCTCCACCTGTGTATACCAAAACCTTCCCTGGCCAACTTCTTCTTCTCTTGAGGCCACAGGAACTCCCCCGTCTCCATTTCGTCCTGTATTTTACGTCCTCTACCATCACACCAACTAACTTCATGTCCTCTTTCACCGCATCCATAAATCTAAGCCTCCTGCCTAGTGGCATCCTTCTACCTATGTAATCACTGTCCCTCCTCTGGACATATCCAAACTGTCTGTCCTCTCTGACTTAACTGTCCCTCTGATGGACTCATTCCTGACTCAGTTCATCCTCGACACCCTGAGCCCTGCTGCCTCTAGTTCTAGATGGTTGTCTGTTTTGTGTTGCTAATGTTTCAGCTTCGCGACCCTGAGTGCAAAACTGAAATTAACAGAAGGCTTTTGTCTTTTCTGCTGATCCTCAGCAGGACACCTGCTGCTCTGATGTTACACTCATCTTCATCTTCAAGCTTTACTGAATACTTGAATATGACATGTTTATTTTAGGGCTCGTGTTAGTGTTAACTCGTTGTTAGCGCCAGCTACATCAGGGTCATTTACGACTGCTGTAATTCCACTTTCAACCAGTAGGGCGGTGGAGCAGGAAATAGCTCACTGTTACTTTAAAATTGTGCATCTGAATGAAATTTTGAAGGTTTTCAGCTGTGTTTTATGTTGGGATGTTAACGTAAGACTTTATGTGGACTAACTATTTTATTTAAAGAGCAAGTCACCCCAGATCAACTTTTTCTTGCTGATAAACTATATAAATCAGTGTCTAATCGTGCTGTAGACAACATTTTGGCACTTTAGTTCAAATTTAAATATTCTGCCTAAAACTGTCAGTGTTGTGCCGTCTTCAGGTAAAAACTCTGCAATACATTTGAATTTAAATCTGCCATCGCTATTAGCTAAGAGGTATACTATGACGGTAACTGGTACATTATGGGTCACAATGTCATTGTGAGCCTGTGTGTGTATTTGTTAGCGGCTCCGCCCCCTCGGTCAGCCAGGCAACAGCATTTGTTGCATTTTTCAAACAAGAAGTGGGAGTGGAGTAAAACTCTGGTAGGGGTGACTTGCTCTTTAAAGCGCAAGTCACCCCCAAATATACTTTTTTTCTGATAAACTATATAAATGCGTGTCTAATCGTGCTGCAGACACGTGTAGTCAATAGTTTTGCACTTTAGTGCATTTTAGTTAAAATTTAAATTTTCTGCCTAAAACCGTCAGTGTTGTGTTGTTGTCAGGTAAAAACTCTGCACTGCATTTGAATTTAAATCTACCATCGCTATTGGCTAAGAGGTACCTTAGAACGTTAGCTGGTACCATATGATGTCACAATGTTGTGAGCCTGTGTGTGTTTTTGTTAGCAGCTCCACCCTCTCGGTCTGCTAGGCAACAGCATTTTTCAAACAGGAAGTGGGAGTGGAGTAATACTCTGGTAGGGGGTGACTTGCTCTTTAAAGAAACCAGTTGAATCCTTGATGTAAAAAGAAAGCTTTTATTCTTGATAGTGCTGTTCTGTCAATGACATGAAAAAACTGTGGTTTGACAAAACTGTGTTGATTGTGTCATGTTGTATAAAAATACATACTTCACCTAGAAGAAGAATGCGTCAAAATGCTATTCTGTCAATTCCTGTTTTTCATTATCGCAACATAAATCACAGGATTGGAAAAAAATCTTCATTTGAATATTTTCCTACATCGTGCAGCCCTAACAGAAAGAAGAAGAAAATACCATTTCTATAGCGCCTCTCAAGATAAAAATCACGAGGCCCTTCACATAAACAAAAAATGTAAAAATATAAAAAGAATTTAGAAAATGGTTAAAAATATTTTTGAAATGAGGAAAAATACACAATCGTGATTAAAAAATGTAAAGAAAGAGAGAGAGTGATTAGTAGCATTTCTTTCTGCCACATGCTTTAAAATTCAGACCTAAAAACTTTTGTTAGATCAACCAGAGCGCCCTTCCTGCTCCCACCTCAATAACGTAAACATGAACGATGGGTTTAATCAGAGAATTAAAAAGGCATTGGTCTCTATTTCAGAAGCTGCATTGTTGGCTCTTAAAAAAACAACATGACTAGCCGTATCGCTGCACTCATTAACAGTGTGGGTTTGTTGTGGAGGGCGCGGGCCTGCAGCACATGTGTGCCAGTTCATTTCCTCAAGGTCCGCTGTGAGAACACCTCATCCTCCGGCGCAGCCCACACGTGGGGAGATTACATCTTTTATTTATCACTTCTTGGCTCTATTTTTCCAGCAAATTCCAGGTTGGAGAGCAATCATCCCAGAAACACTCCCTGCGAGTGTGAGGACTACTGTTATTCCTCGGAGGAAAAGGCGGATCAAGCCCAGTTTTGTTTATTTTCCTACTCACACATTCCACCTATAGCGATATAATGGGTGTGTTGATTATTCACAACTATACAAAGCACACAGGAGGCTCCTGCTTCTGAGGGGTGGGAAGAGAAATCCAAGCATTTAGATTACATTACTATTCAAATTAAGCAGGCAGAGTAATGGGATTACAGCCCTCTGTGAGAAGGTGTCCTGAGCCCGGTCAGCTCACAGGTGACAGACTGCAACACAATCAAATCCTCCAGGCTGACAGAGTCAAGATAATGGCTGTAAGCTGAGGACGGTCTCCATTAGCGTGAGCCACTGCATCACACACAAAGGCCCATGCCGGCTGGCAGCGGACCGGTGTGAATCGTGGCCCATGTGTAAGAATAGCTGAGGCCAAAACGCTCCTTTTATCCAAATCTCTTCTACTTAACAAGAGAATGAAAGAGCACTTTTGTTTGCTTCCTTTTTGGAAACGACAGGAAGCCTGAAAAGGCAGAAATGAACATGAAAATGGGAACAAAGTACCAAACTCACAACGGAAGAATCACTGCAATAGATACGTGCCCTGGCTCATTAAAATCAGAAAGGAAACAGCACATGAAGTATTGACTCGTGTCTGTTGGTGGACACAAGTTGTCAAGTTCAGAGGGGTCTGTTCCTGTTCCAAACACCACGAACAAGCCGACATGTGATAACCTCGAGGGATTGTTCTCCTTTTCCCATTTAGGACCGAGAAGCCTCCTACTTCAGCACTATAAACATTCCAGGCACTTCCCTAAGATCTAAATTTACAACAGGCCTGTCCGACTTCTCCCCAGTTCAGCAGTTTGCTGGTGTGTATCGGTTCCTCTGCAGCCTGGCGTGTCCCCTGATCAAACTCCAGGCCTGCTGACAAAGCCACAGTGCATTTTTAATTATCAGTGAACAGCACATCAGCTGTGCCACGCAGAACGACTCATTCAAATGTAATGTGTGTCAGTTGAGACCCACCCTCAGCACTTCCCCTATTACTCAACTGTTGTGTGCAATTGTTTTAAAAAGTGATTTAGCGGGTATGTGGGTTGGAAACGTGTGCTTCATCACGTTGTCACGTTTTAAACTAAAACCAGTCATTGTTGGGATTTACTTCAAAGTCACAAAAATGTTCTGATGCTGTTCAACTTTATCTGCAAGTTCTGATTACTGAGAAATTTTTAGGAGCAACTTATTTTGAGAGTTCTCATTTCCCCCACGGGCCCCAGACTAAACAGGATTTAAATGCCCCAGTCATACATCCTCATTCACGCGCACAACAGATTTAAAGCCCCAATGTAGCGCCTCCGCGCGTCTGTCTCCCTTTGTTGTCACTTTATGTGCTGGTGTTGGGTCACCCACACATCAGCGGTAATATGATGGTCTGGGATGTTCGGTTCGGTACAGCCCGGTCCCGTCTCATCACTCACCGACTTGCAGTACGTTGTCCACGCAGCCGCTCTCCAGCAGAGCGATGCCCCGTCGGAACGGCAGCCGCGTCTCGTCGCCGCTCTCCCCGCTACTTCCGATCTCCTCCCCGCCGGTGTTGAACGACGAGTACATGCAGATCTCCCGTTCGCTCCTCGGGAAAGACCAGTACACGATCCGCCTCTGGACGGGCTCCGGGATCCTCTCGAAGCGCTCCTCCACCCGCTGAAACGGCCACTTTTCCGCGACTCTCCTCGCCGCAATGTCCAGCAGGGACTCCGGGCTCAGGGTTCGGCTCGATCCGCCCTGGGTGGCAGCCGAGCCGCCGCACGGTGCCCCCGCGGCCCGCTGGCCTTGTCTGCATGTTGCTCCGAAGCCCGGTCTACAGCAGAGTCGCTTGGCTGGGGGCTGCTGTACGCGCTCCGCCATCATAGCTCCGCTTTATCAGCGACGGAGGAAGTCAACGCACCATATGAACGGGATGGGAAGAAGAACAGGGTAGTCGCGGCTCGATTGTTGGCCGTGTATGGCCAAATTGCCCTTTTAAGGGAACATGGGGGCAGGGCTTCTAAAGCTTGTCAAACCCCTTTGTTGACAAATTAAAGGAAGGCGGGGTTTGTTCGCTCGGCTGGCCCCGAGCGGAAGCCCGACTGGAAGGCGAAATTCCCGCACGGACCTAATCCTGGTCGAACCTAAATCCAACAACGGTTAGCTGTCGTGTCTGTCGAGCATCTTCCAGACGGTGGTTTTTACCGGTAAGGGGAGAGAAAAGGCTTTGTCTGGCAGCGAGCGGAATGAATGTGGGGTGTCTAGGGGCGGTTACTGGCCTGTCAACAGTCGAGCCTCGTGGTTTTAGGGGGAGGGGGCAGTGAACGCAGCACCGCCCCTGTGACATTCACGGTCCACTGGAATGTGGATGGTTTCAAGAAAACAGATTGTATGGAATCCCAATGCTGCCAGAGAAAAACAAAAGAGGAAACAGTTAACATTATAAGCCAACATTAACTTCGATGTCAATGTCAAATGTTCCTAAAAAGACATCTTAAACTATTTTGTTAAAAATTATTTATAACTGACATTTGCATTTATAATAAAACAGTCATGGTAATAAATTACTGTGAATTATTTTGTATTGTCCATCAAGGCTAGATTTACTCAATTAATTTTAGCAACATATGCTTACCTAAATTTTCATTTATGTAGTTTTTTTATTTTGACTGGTAAAATGTGAAAATGTTTTATTATTTAATTGACCCCAGACTTTATATTTAGATTTTGTGCTCTTGTTAACAGGGTTTCAGATGTCAAACTAATAATTTTATTGAACCTTTGATCTAATGAAGATTTATTTATTCGTTCAAACAATTCCTCATTCTTGTTGTTCAAGTTTATTTTTTTATTTTATATATTTTCCACTCATTTTCTGCCCACTCACAGAGTGTGTTCAGCTAAATTGACATGTGCTTCTTATTTAACCAATACCAGTGCTGAGGGATGTTAACGCTCACATGGGCAACGACAGTGTGACCTGGTTGTTGTCTCATCTGATTTGTGGCCACATGTCATGGACACTCGAGTGAAGAGAGGGGAGGAGCTGTCAACTGGCCACTACCTGGTGGTGGGTTGGCTTCGATAGTGAGGGAGGATGCTAGTCAGAACTGGCAGGCCCAAACGTATTGTGAGGGTCTGCTGGGAACGTCTGGCAGAGTCTCCTGTCAGAAGGAGCTTCAATTCCCACCTCCGACAGAACTTCCAAAATGTTCCGGGGGAGGCAGGGGACATTGAGTCCGAGTGAGCCATGTTCTGTGCTTCCACTGTTGAGGCGGCTGACAGCAGCTGCGGCCACAGGGTCGTCTGTGCCTGTTGTGGTGGAAAACCCTAAACCCGCTGGTGGACACCAACAGTTAGGGATAACGTCAAGCTAAAGAAAGTGTCAGATCAGGTCCTTTAGGTCTGTGGGACTCCACAGGCAACTGATGGGTAACAGCAGGAGTTTGGTAAGACCATGGAGCAAGACTTCCGTCCGACTTCAAGGAGATTCTGGTCCACCATCCTGTGCTTCAGGAAGGGAAAGCAGTGCACTACAAACACTGTTTATAGTGGGAACGGTGTGCTACTCAGGATGTTGTGGCCTCCCTGGTAAAGTCTATCCAGGGGTTCGACAGACTGCAGATTCAGTTCATAACTTTTATGGTCAGGATTTCTAGGTGCAGCCAAGGTGTCGAGGGGATCTGTTTTGGTGGCCCAAGGATTGAGTCTCTGCTTTTTGCAGATGATGTGGCCCTGTTGGCTTCATCAGAACGCGATCTCCGGCTCTCAAAGGATTGGTTCGCATCCGGGTGTAAGGTAGCTGGGATGAGAATTTGCTCTTTTAAATCCTAGACCACGGTCAAGGTTAGAATGCCGGCTCCGGGTCAGGGACGAGGTCCTGCCCCAAGGGGAGAAGTTTAAGTATCTCAGGGTCTTGTTCACAAGTTAGGGAAAGGTGGAGCGCGAGATCAACAGGCGGATTGGTGCTGCATCTACATTGATGCATGCATTGTACCAATCTGTCGTGGTAAAGAGAGAGCTGAGTCAGAAGGCAAAGCTCTTGATTTCCCAATTGATCTATGTTTCTATCCTCACCTATAGTCATGAGCTTTGGGTAGTGACCGAAAGAACGATGTCGCGGATACAAGCGGCCGAAATGAGTATTCTATGCAGGGTAGCTGGGCTCTCCCTCAGAGATAGGGTGAGAAGTTCGGTCATCCAGGAGGGGCTCGGAGTAGGCCAGCTGCTCCTCCACATCGAGAGGAATTAGTTGAAGTGGCTCGGGCATCTAGTTAGGATGCCTCCTGGATGCCTCCCTTGTGAGGTTTTCTGGGCATGTCCAACCGGGAGAAGACCTAAAGGAAGACCCAGGACACGCTGGAGGGACTATGTCTCTCAGCTGGCCAGGGAATGGCTTAGGATTCCACCAGAGGAGCTGGCCCAAGTGGCTGGGTAGAAGTAAGTCTGGGCCTCCCTGCTTAGGCTGCTGCTCCTGTGACCCGATGGATGGAGATAATGCTTCTTAGACAGGAGTCAGATGCCTCACAGACCTGGATTGTTCATGAATGTATTTGCAGCTTTGTGTTTTAAAGAACTTGGACTTGAGTTTGACACCCCTGCTGTAGTTTCATGCAGAGTTGATGAACAGAACAGGACAGACATGTCCTACAGCAGAACTTCAGCAGTGACACAGCAGCTTTCAGGCATCCCTAAATCTTAATATTTGACTAAATCTACTGGATTTTAAAGATATTCTTAAATCTATTGATTAAGAGACTCAAATTGAAGTTTATTAAGATTGTGCCTTAACTCTGGGGAAGAGGAATTTCCAGCCTTCAGGCTCCAGCCTTCAGGCCACAACCAGGTTCCAGCCATCAGGCCACAACCATTGGAATTGCCACATCACCAATTACCTGAACCATCCATCAGGCTCAGCCTGGGCTCTAGGCTCCAGACTACACCGGCAACCAGGCCTTGTCACGTTGAGGAGCGGATGGCGGCAGACCATGTGTGGTGGAGCAGATCAGGAGGCAGGAATGCAGACACGGATTAAATAAAAGTAGTTTTAATGGCAGAGCGGGAACGACAGAACAAAAACAACGCTGACAACAAACAATGGCCCAACAAGAAAAATGAGACAAGGAGAGGCTTTACACGCTGGGGCTGGAGTGATAGGAGACGAGGACCAGGTGTGTGGAGAACTGGCACAGGTGAAATAACTAATGAGGAGAAGAGCAGAGCAGGACACCAGACCTGACTGGGAAGGACAAACACACACACACACACACACACACACACACGCATACACATACTGACACACACATAAACTCACACACACATATACTGAGCTGGGGAACAAGAGGCTGGAGCTACAGCTAGAGGGGCTGAGGATGACTGGATGACACAGGACCTGGGAGGAATGATTTTAAAGGGCTACAACTTAAGACACATAACAGAGATGCAGACAAAGGACACATGAGGGCACTAAGAGAACACAAAAGGGAATCTATAGAGGGATGGACAAACATTAGGAGACACATGGGGAAAGACGCAGACACAGACCATGACAGGCCTGGGAGAGAGGTAAGCCTAATACGACTGCCCCTCCTAGAAAAACTTGAGAAACTCGAGGAAGATATGGGGGAAATTTGCAAAATCATTGAATTTTATGTTAGCCGAGCTGTTTAAGCTAACAGTACAACAAGATCAACTGCTATCATTAATGGACGAGGTCAAGACACTGAAAGTCAAGCTTGCAGAAAAGGACAAGAAGATCAGTGTACTGGAACAGAGTGGATGAACTGGAGCAGTATACCAGAAGGGATGACGGTGATAACTGGTTTGGAAACAAGACACAGGTCCAATGCCAGAGTAACTGGAGATAGAAACACAACTGAGGATGCTCCACAGGAAGAACTCCAGTCACTAGAACAAGTGTTAAGCTTCTTGCACAGTAAGAACATTAACATCCAATGTGATGCAATATCAATCTGTCATACCCTTCCAAGAAAGGCAGACAAATGAACCCTCTGGAGGCAGGCGTTGCAGATTAGCAACATTAAAACCTACCTAGTTACTCCACATGCGTATTTCATGAGCATTATTTAACTCAGAAGTACCCTGAAGGACTTAGTTGTTTGTCCTTTTATCAAAACTTATTTTGAGCCTGAGAGGGTTAAGACCAGTCATCATAGTGTGATTTACTAGCACAGAAATTAGTTGTTAAGGCAAGCAAAAAAACCTGAAAGGTACAAATGTGTTTAAAAATGAACACCTGACAAAAAAGAATGAAACAAAAGATAAAGAAGCAAGAATGATAAGAAAACAGAAAAAAATCACAGCCACATGGACAAGAAATGGTGTCGTATGGATTAGAGAGCAAGAAGGTCTAAATGCAAAAATGATCAAAGAGTTGAAAGATCTGGAAGTGTTTCAGAGTAAAAGATGATTTATTCTGTGTGTAGCACTGACTAAATAATGGATACTGGAATCAGCTTAACTATGGAAGCACAAATGACCAAAAAGAATCAATGGATTCTGATGAGAAAATATATGAACTTGACAGTAAAATAGATGAAAGTTTATTTAATTTTAAGATAAATAGCAATTATTATGGAAAAGATCAACTAAATAGTGAGTTAATTAACAAGGATTCATTATCAATCATCCACATAAACAGTAGAAGTTTAGTTTCCAAGATGTCAACAATAAAGGATTATTTAGATACATTTAAAAGCAAATTCAAAGTCATTGTCATTACTGAGACTTGGCTTAATGATGAAATGATGGCTGAAGTACAAGTGGAGGGTTGTGAACTTCATTTTGTAAATAGAATAAATAAAAGAGGTGGTGGGGTTGTCCTGTACATTAAAAATTATTTAAAATGTTAATTAGTAGAGAAAATGATGGGATGGAAGGTAATGTTAAATGGTAACAGTGGAAATTAGCAATGACACATCCAAAAAGAAAATAATCAGTTGTGTATAAAGAGCGTCTTGCATCAGGACATTTACAGGTAAAATAAATGTTAGTGGATTATATTAAAAACAAAACCTTGTTCATGTGTGGGGACTTCAACATTAACTTGGAACATCCTGCTGGACAGAGAACATCAAATATTTTGATTTGATAGGTTTGGTTCCTTTGATAAACAAACCTACCAGGATTACAACCCAGAGTGCAACAATAATTTATAATATATTCACTATTAGAAAGGAGGATCTTATTAAAACTGGGGTATTTTGGGAAGATTTTGTATGGAAACACTATGGCTGAGAGGACCAACCCACCACATTTTTCCTGTCACCTTCCCCTCTCCTAGGAAGATTTCAGAAGTAGAAGCACAGCTATTGTTGCAGAACCAGGACCTGACCAACATTTTTTGTTTTTTTTTTTTTGTTTTTTTTTTTGGACTCCTGTTGTTGACCTCCATTTTCCCTCTTGGGCTGAGACTTGG